TGTGTTCTGGATTTCATGTGTGTATATAATTAATAGCATCCACTTGCTGGTGAGTTGGGGTTAAAGTGTGATTTATTTTCACAAAATAAAGTTACACTTACATTCCAGATGGTTCTTTACCAGTGAGGTACAGCACCACAGCCTGCAGCTGGCTCAGCTTACGATGGGTCGGGTCAATGTCTGTCTCGCAGTAGGTCCTACAAGCACCCACACACACACAAAAATACATCTAGAAAAATGGCATGTAGTCATATTTATATGAAGAGCTACAAGCACTTAATACTGGTGGGAGTCCCATAACGTCTATGTTTTGCTAGTTATGGCCATAGGTTATGGCATACTCACCATTCGTTGGCTATGGTTAGGTCTGGAGCCAATAAGTCATGGAGACCTGAAGCAAAAAAGACATAAGACAGAGTGTAAGGAAGGCAGACATAAATAGAAAGAAACTACGACAGAAGAAAAAGACTTACCCTCCTCAATAGAGACGTTTCCGATGAAGATAACCCTCCATATCCCCTAGTCAACACTATACCCAGACTGTCAAACACAGAAAATACTGTTATTTTACTTTCTATTATATATATATATATATATATATATATATATAATATAATATATATATAGGTTTTTAACAAAAATTATCATTTGTTGTCCTAGAGCAAAAGTGCAGGCTAGAGAGAAATTATGTTAGAGGAGATATCACTTAGATAGATGTTATGTTTCTGCTATTAATAATTTTATACAGGTAGAGATGTTGCTATGTTGGATATGGTGGATGTAACATTTTAAAATCTGACACTTTTAGTAAGCCTCTCTTAAGCTGAAAGTGATCAGACAAACCTGAAGGGTGTCTCATTGATGATGGTGTAGTAGTAATCATTCTTCAGGAACATCACTCTCCTCTGTGCGAGACAGTGAGAGGGACAGAGTTAAAACTAGTAAATTACTAGTAAAACAAGGAATTAAAACTATTACTAATACAAGAAAAGAAACCACCACAGGAAGAAAGAGAGGAAAATCTATTCTCTGATATAATATTTAAGACGGCTCCTTGTGTTTCCTTGACAAACAGACACTCACAAAACCAAAAAGTGCTCACCCCTTTATCCACTGAAGTTCTCACATCTAAAGACATTGTTCCAGTTCTCCCTTAATCATGGCTGTCCTCAGCTGAAACAAAGACACCTCATAATCAGCACTTCACTTGTTTCATCATACCATGTTGTGGATCCTATACAACACAACTCACACTGACACTGAAAAGAGAAAACACGGGACTTTAAAATGACAGAAATGTGAGTGTGTGGTACTCACTTTCTCCTCAGTGTCTTCCCATTCCACCTCTGACAGATCAACACTGTTATAGTTGGGTTTTGGCTTTAGCTTCTTCCCCTCCTTATACTGTCACACACACACACAAACAAACATACAAACAACAAACAGTAAAAAATTTATTTATGGTAAGCTAATTACAATAAAACTGTCAAGCAGAGTTGTAAAGTTTCAACACTTTCTCAGCTGCGATAGTTCACTGTAAAATACGATCTTTGTCTGTACCAGAGGTCGTAGGTCAGGATGAGATAGGATATAGCCGTTGTTAGTGATGAGGAATGCATAACCGTGGACACCCAGCTGAAGAGACGTAAAGAGATAAGGACACAGCACACTACATTATAGGGCATCAACACAGATCTTAACATGTGGATAATTAACCTTATGAATCCAATGTTACTGGCTGTCTCAGAGAAGACAAAGTATGTATACAGTATTCCATCCTTATTCAAGACACAGCATATTGCATTTACCTTGTATCTCGGTGCTAATCTCATCAGTTCTTTCAAGGCCACATCAGTTCCTACCACTCCCAGCAGAATCCCATGAGACAACTACAGAAAACACACAGCAGATATGTATGATAAATGATAAATGCACAATTTCAAATGATGTCTGTTGAGGGTAATGGTTTTAATTGTGATTTAAATTAATACTTACAGTCTCTTTCTTCTTGCTGAATACAGGCATGGCTACCGAGGTCATCAGAGCAGGCTTTGGACTGACTGTTGAACAGCTGTGGTACACAAAATCAGCCACAATGACTTTCTCCACATTGTTTTAGTTGACTAGCTTAATTTGTTTGCTATGTTATGAGAAAACAACTGTAGGTTTAAGTTAAATGAAGTTTGTAGAACTCATTGTTGTTGTTGACCACTGGTGGAGAATGAAATGAAATGAAGATAAATTGGAAGACTTCCTGAAATAAACTGTCTAAACTTGAGAACATTAACTAAGCTAATGTAATGCTAACATCTTACAAAGGGATAGGAAAGAGAAGCTAAGATGTTCACTCAAGTTTGAAAACAATATGCGCCTGTAAAATTAGTTAAGTAAAGAGTAAAGTAGTGAAGTTTCAAAATATTAAATAAAATTGAAAGCTAAGTAGTAAAACCAGCATGTTAACCTCCAGTTTCAGGTTTCAGGTTAAAAACTTTTAAGCTAGGCTAGCTTATAGGAATTACCCTGCTAGCTCACAAGAGGATGAGCTAAGGTAACTTAAGCACTTGAAGCAATGGTGGAAAGTTAGATTAACTAGAAACTACTAGAAACTACTCGAAACTACAAACTTTGAGCTATTGACTATGAACAAAAGGCTAAGCAAGCCGTTACAGATACTATATTCTGTATTTTAAATCGGTAACATTCCTAAAAAAAAAAAAAGGAGTATAGTAAGTAAACTTAAAGCTCTAATGTTACAGTAGTATGATTACCTCTTGTGTGCTGGGGAACTGAAGGTGGATATGAAGGGGAGGAAAGACAACAGACATGAAAAGGCAGTGAAAATAGATGCCACATATGGTACAGATGAAAAGAGATAATGAAATAAAGGATGAAACCGAAATAAGCAGGCAGTGGTAAGAAAACAACAGCTGCACTAGAAAAGGAAAAATATGAATTATTTAGAAAATTTCTGCTTGAGCAAAACTGTCTTGGACTTGATTTTTGCTGGTGTGTTGCTAAATGAGCATTGCTGGTTAGATACTATAACCATGGCTAATAGAGCACCACTAAGTAAGGTGTTACAGTTACAGTTTTTTTTAGTTTATTAAAATTCAGTTATGACCTTACAGTTATTAATCCTTTGGTAATTTCAGGGATGTTGCAGGGGTTGGAAGCTTAGCTACTGCCAGGAAGTGGAGGATGATGCTTGCCATTACAGTTAAAGTAATGTAATGACTTTTTTCAGTGAGTAATACGTAAATAATTTATTCATTTCTACAAGAATCTTGCCCAACAGTGGATGCTACTTTTTCAGTGTTTGTGTAGTTTGCATGGGTGATTGTTATGGTCTCAATGGTCTGGCATGTTTTCAGTGTAGGTTATAAGGTGGTCAGGTCTTAGTTATTTAAGGAAGATTAAAATCAAGGACCACTTGCCCTTGATTTTAACCTTCCTTGGAGTAGTTACAGTAGTTTTCAGATCATTGCTTAGTTGATCTCTGTTGTTAGTATGCAGTACTTGGTGGTGGCTGTAGTATTCTGTGTTCTGAATAGGAGATTGTATTGGTGTCTGGGATTAACTGGATGGAGGGGTCTTGAATATTTCAGCTCCATGGAAAGAGGCACAGAGATGAATAGACTGGTTTAAATGTTTTCATAAAGAGAGACAGATAGACTGCAAAAAAGTTTATCTCTGTTGCCAATCCAGAATAAAATGGATATGTGAACAGCACAGGCATCCTTAATGAGTCTGACATTTTGATTACACATGACAGATAATTTTAATGCAAGATAATAGTGTGAATTGCACAGCAAGCACACTAATAATAAGAGAAGCAAACTGACCACAGTGTCCATATAGGCCTCCGTCCAAATGATGTCATGATCGTGGTTGATGACCATTGGCCGGCTGAGAACATGGAGGTACTCCATAACGTTTTCCTGGACGTCAGCCAGTGTGGAGACATGTGTGTAATAACCTGCAGGACACAAAATACATTTACACACACATCCCATATATCACAAATTACTGTACTGAGATGGAAAAACTAGGAACCATACATTTTAGCATAGAAAATGTTCACCATATAGTTTTTCTTTCTGCATCTGGCTTTTAGGTATTAAATTTAGAGCAGCAAACTAATTTATCTGACTTCAGAGACCTTGTATTCCCAAAAAGCACTAAGTTGTTTTTAATGAAAAAACAGCTTGAATCTCCCATCAATGCAAATATGCTTTTGACTTTGCTTTTAAAGCTTGGCTTAGTCTAAGGTTTATGGCATTTCTACAAGTGGGAGAAATGACGTCAATGGGATACCTGCAGTGAAGCTGCTCAGTGACAACAGGCTACTGAAGCACTGCCAGGTATGAATTTGTGAATGCTTGCAGCCTTTTTTCCTTCTGTAATGTCTCCCCAAGAGTGCTGCTGTGAATATTATTAAGTATACCTGCTTTCTCAACTAAAACTGAAAGTGTATATAGAAGTTTTATAGTAGGAATGTAACCATTAGCTATCTGTTTATGACAGATATTTTGTTGTTGGCAGAAGCAACTGCCAGTGTATGCAACAGAAGGGAGTGCACCTGTTACCCATTACACACACACACGCATACACAGATATGATATTTGGCCAGAGATGTGTTTACAGTGTATCCGTTGTGATAATCAGGTATTTAGTCAGGGTTTTTTGATGTGTTCAGAGCAGTATAAAGCGATTATTTTTAGGTTTGAGCTATTGCATGACCCCATGTAATTCACAAGAGGGCAGCAGCTGATACCCAGTCCCCTTCAGTAGCACCTGGGAACACCAACAAGGGCTAACAGATCTCCTTTCTTGCTAAAAACAATATGCTATTGTTTGTTAGTTATGTGATTGCTTGTTGCTGAAATTACCCAAACTTTGTATCCCAGATTTTGTGGCAAAACCTAAAGACATTTTTTTGACCTTCAGGCTAATTATTCATCCTCATCGGGTTTTTACCCTTATTGTTGCAGGCAATCCATTTAACATTTTCAGCAAATGTCATCTCCCGTCCAATAAGATAGGTGAACACACGAACCTGGAGAGTTAATAAAGAATATGGTGATATTTGAGAAACCCCACTCATTTGTTATTTCAGCTTTATATTAATACCATCAATGCTATTTGTATGTGTGCTTACAGTACATTTCACTAGTGCTTGCACTTGTTGTATTTGTGCGTCATACCCGTCTTTCTGGCCAGTTGAACTCTTCAAAAACATCCTGGAAGTCCTCCATGGCTCCGTCTGTTATCAGCATGATGGCCTGGTTACACAGGCTGCCCTGGCCCTGCGCTGCAGCCTAAATATGCACACACACAATGTACTTGGTCTTGGAAATGTGTACTCAAGAAATCAAATGTTGCAGACCTGTGAATTTGTGTGCTGTGGTTGTTGCAAAGAGGCACACACCTCGTTGAGGATCTTAAAGGATTCTTTCATTGCATGTTTCACTTTGCCCTCTCCTTTGACATGAAGCTCTTCAACCAAAAGCTTGAAATGCTGCAGAGAGACACACAACAAATAAACATATTGACATTGTCACTAAGCCATGGAGAGTTCATGAGGGAATGAAAGAGTGTAGAGGAGGGATTATCCCCGGCTCCCTGGCACACAGACCAATTATGGCAAAGTCACTACAGCACCATGAGGTAATCAGGATTAATCAACATGCACACTAGCCAACACTATTTAGCCACTTAGCACTATGACGAATGGCTGGTGTTCCTTTTCTTAAAACAGAGATTTGCACCTCAGGTCACCTGGCCAATATTTGACAAAACTGAACACACATTGGTCTCTTTTACAATTTGGGCAAACTTGTTCTGACCTACAGTGTGAGTAAATAAAATAAATAGTTGTTTGGGAATGTAGGAACTCTTATATAACAGCCACAAAAGATTGTCTTCCTGTAAATGTGTATGTTTGTGTGTTCTAACGTGAGTTCAGGCTTATGCGTAACAGTGCCAACAGCCAACATCTGTAAGCCCATTCTGTTACATCCCGACTCTCTAGGCATTCAACCAATCAAATCCCTTGCTGACAGGCCATGTGACTAACAAAAATTTTGTCAGCGGCCAGTGACCTCACCTGATCTGCGATGATGCGAAGGGGAGTAAAAGTAGGGCATACATCCAACACATAGTACACACACACAAACACAAGGACTGAGCAACTGTGATGTGATGACAGCATATTCTTTGTCTTTAGAGGATAACTGAGATAACAGCATATGAGTAATATGTTGGCAGTGGTTAAGTGAATTAATTAGCTGTGAGCTTGTGTGTATCTGTGTGCGTCTTCTGTGTGTGTTACCTCTCTGTTATCCAGATCAGCTTGTACTAGCATGCCCTTGAAACAGGGCTCCACGTACCGAACATAGTCGCTGTACTGTAGAGAAAAAACAAATATATAACCCAAAATAATCAATGATCAGCATGAGGAACAGACAACATGATTAACTTTTATGACAGGTAATGATTAAGAGTAATTGCAGTTTACTACCGCAAAAATGTCCCAAGATCACTTAACTGTATTACATTATGTATTTACTCCAACCAGCATCTGATTGTGTAACACAGAAACTATTAACTGTTAATAATGTGAATATATGAAAAGATTTAAAATCTTTTTCCAACTGAGCATATCTCACTTTAAAATAAAGTGTAGTAGTAGTGTAGTGCTGATTTTTATTTTGAGGCATGGTCACTCCATCGAAAGGAGCGTAGCTGTGGATTCTGTGTGAAAACAGCTTAAGGGCAGCGGATTTGCAGCAGGCGCATGATTACACACGCAGTAATACCAGGATAAACCATGCTTATTACACCTATTTGTAGTTGTAGGGCTACACACGGCCAAAATCCTGAAAAACCTAAAAACAAAATGAATTTTGTAGCTTTGACATAAAAATAAATGCTTGGTTTCAATTGAATGTTTGATGTGTGCCTGTTAGCATGTGTGTATATCCACTGATATATTTACCCCAGTCTCTATACTGTACCTGTATCTCTGTGTCTTTGTGTTAATCTCAAAGTCATGCTTATTAAGACTCAGACACACTCTGCTTCTGGTGAGTCTTAGACTGCTCACAAGTGTCTGTGTTCTGTGTAACTGCGTGTGTGTACTTACAGCTATGATGTTAACAAAATCATTTTCTCCCAGTGTGTCCAGGATTGTGTTGATGGTGTGTTTGGCTATGGTCATTCTGAGGCCCTTCATACTGCCACTGACATCCACCACTATTACCACATCTTTGGGAGAAGTGGCTGCCTGAATATACCTAGAAAGAGACTTAGTTGAGCTTATAGGCAGTAAATGCTTTATCTTTAATATGTCAAGCAAATAACACTCAGACATGAACAGAATTGAGTGTACATTGTTTAAGTAATAAGTAATCTAGCAGTCAGACAGAACAGGCAGAGTTCAAACCTTATCCTTTTATTTGTTCCTCTGTTCTTCCGTGCATGCTTCTCTTCATCTCCTTATCATGATCCCCTGATTTTCCAAGCTCATTAACATCAATGGGATTTCCTCTACAGCAACTGTGATCGCCAATTTCAGAGCCACACTGTCATGCTCCCTCATTTCCGCCTTCAAGGATACAGTATGTTCTGTCTGAGGACCAGATATAGTTCCTGGCATTTGATTTATTGGAACTGATTAGAACAGTAATCCAGATCTTATTCTGCGTGACCTAGAAGACCTTTTCACAAGTCACAGCAGGGGAAGCCCAGGTGTACACAATAAAATGAATGCTGGCTGAATTCCATTTAGCTGCTTCAGTTTCAGGGTCCTGGTATTGTGTCAAAATGTCTGCTGTGAAAAAGGCCTATTGTTGAGTCATCTGCAGCATTATTTGTAAAAAGCTGTATGGCTGCAGATGTATAAGCAAGTGTTGTGTCATTGCTTTCCATACGGTTGTCTTTGACACAGATTGCACCCAAATTTGTGGGCTGCATTAGCAGTTAAGAGAACTACTTCCAGTGTTGATGAGAAGAGCTGATTTGTGATGAGAGCCCTAACACACACATCTGTTACTCTTTATTTCCAACTGTGCTGCAGCAGAGTTGCCTGACTCAGGCCAGATCAAATGCTATGTGCGTCTGTCATACCATGGTTCTCTCTCTCTATTCCCTATCTACTTTTTTGGTTTGACTGAACATAAACTTAAACAATACAGTAAATTTAATCTACTGGTAAGTGCACTGATAAAGCAAGGTAACCTCAAAGACTTGACACCGACAAAAGCTGACTGTTTTGCGTCGAACCACATCACCTCACTACTTCTGTTAAAAGTTGCACTTAGAGGCATATAAATAAGGAGAAATTTCACTAAATGGGTAAAGATACTGATTAGGCTTAGGGGACTGAACAGCTAGTCAGAAAGACTTTTCTCACTGACTGCCTCTGGGGTTGATTTAACCTGCCCAATTAGTCGCTGATATGGGCAATATCGCCTTACCAGTTTCTGTTTCTGCAATCAAACGTGACCACACCATTTTCATCTGGAATCCATTGGATCCCTAAACAAAGAGAGAGAGAGAGAAAGATAGAGAGATTTAGCAAAAGCTGACACTCAGATTGAAAACTGCTGCCTGGCTGACTAGTTGGCAGGACGGAGCCATAGACGGACGAACAAATGGATGCATGGATGGATAGTGACAAATTGTCAAATGAGGGAGAGATGGATGAGGTAGCAGATGAGTAAAACAAGCTGTGTCACAAATCCTCCGCTAATTACTCCTCTCTCACGGAAACACATACACACCCACGCAGGAGAGAATTCACCAGCAGCCATATTGTAGATGAGACTGACTCATCACGGTTGACAGACAGTTTCCTGCATCGTCAGTTGCGGTGTAAGTACACTGTTTGGCTTGCACAGCTGAATGTTTATCTTCAGCTCGGCTCATGTTGTCTTAACACCGTGCCACTGAACATACTGAGATTTGGGGAAGCATGCATGAATCCTATGAGACCCCGATGTGTGCGCACCTGGGTACAGCCTGAAGAAGCCAGTGGAGCTGCCAAAATACTGCCAGGTGAGAGTTGGATCTTTCTGGAAGTTGTCAACAAAAACTTCATTCAGAGCTTCGGACATGTACGCTCCATTCAGAATATCTGGATCTACAGAAAGAGAATGAAAGAAGATATTGATATTCTACTGACAATATAATACTGATGTATTATACAGCATGTGCAAGGGAATGCAGGCTGTACGTGTATGTTTGGGCTTCTGTACCTCTGTTGTAGACATTTGTAGGGACTTGTATGTTACTCTGTTGTGTGTTGACTGGAATTTTATTGAAGTGTTCATTTTCTTCCAGCAAGAATTCACCTCCCAGCGGCAGTGGATTCCCATCCTCATCCACCGTGTTGATCAGCATGGAGTTATAGTATTCAAACTAGATATAAAGTAAAGGCCGATGAGCTTATAGATTATTGGATGGTGAAATATTGCCATGAATACCCCTTATGTTGAACACTATGTGAATGAGGTGACAGAAGACAAAATATGTGACAAGACAAAATAAGCTTTAATGCAGTTATGGCAATGATAGTGACTCAGATAGTATGGTACTGAAGACACCACCAAATACCACTGAAGAAGGAGTATCAATAAAGAATAGAATATTTGGGGTATACATCTGTGGTTACATACTGTAGTCACAAACTGCACAGAGGTGAATGTTCTTATATTGAAGCATATTGTCACATACCTGCATCGTTTCGTTGTACTCATGGTAAAAGTCAGCATCCTCTGCTGCTTCTGCCAGCCTCTGTGATAAAATACAGCAGCTGTAGGATACATACTCTGCCAATATAATTTCCCATGTAGGAAAAATGATAAAGTCCATTATTACTAAACCTAATGCTTATATTAAATCTGCAAAGATTTTTGAAGGACAATGTCTGCACAAGAGCTGGAGTCCAATTGGTCACAGTTAACTTAAGTATTTGTTTGCTGTCACAGAATGTATCAATATTACCTTCACAGATTTCATCTTCCTCCCAAGCATCTCCTCCATCTCCTCAGCAAACTTTTTCACTAGCTCCTCTCCGTCTACCTCCACCATCTTCACCACACCCTCGATATCCTTGTATTTCTTCAAAACAGACACAGTTGGCTTATTAGTAACAAGGTTTTTTTAAAGTACTGATCAGCATCCTGCAACCAAAAGTGTACTGTCAGCTCCTTGAGTCAATGAAACCACACACACACACACACACACACACACACACACACACACACACACACACACACACACACACAGAGTTGTTGTTGTGTTCGAGAGTTTGTAATACAGATGGGGGTCAAGCCCTGACCTCATCCCCTCCCCAGAATCTTTCTCTAATCTGCTATATGACAGCGTGATGCCACAAAAAAAAACCTCTACTGCACACTGCGCCTCCTGACTGACATCTGTGCATGTTTTAATGGCTGTATTGCGCTGTAAGATGGTTGGATTTACAATTCACTTATATTCACTTCATTAAAGTTGACTTTCATGAAATTCAGAGATCATCATATTGACATTTGTCTTTGTAGGCACCGGTTACAACGGTTTTGTCAAAATGATGAATCAGCAATTAAATAAATGTACAAACCTAAATTTAAGAAGGCTTATTGATGCAAAGACATTGTACAACAATACAATAATACTACATGTTAATAATGACCTACTGACTCTTTCAATGAGGTTTAAGAGATCATTCTTTTTTTTTTTTCCTATCTTGTGTTTCTCCAGTAAATAACCAAAACTTCAACATATTACTCTGTGGCCATCTAGGATCACTTTCAGTAAAATCAACTTGGGCAGTGCAAAATCGCCAATGTACTTGCAAAGAAATAGTTCAGAATGAAATCATCAACACATCATGTTTGTTCCTAAGTCAAACTGAACATACCAGGTCTCAGGGAAATGGAAACCCACTTAGTTTTTACAATTTGTAAACACAGAGATTACTTAATCAATCTCGTGTAAGTGATTTAACTAAATGTATGTTTCTAGCTGCCAGAGGCTGGTCGGTTTGTTCACCATGCTATTAAATTAAAGCAGCTACAGCAATGTAATCTAAGGGATCCCATGCTGTTGCTGCCTGTGGACTTAAAGGTTAATTTCCTGTGCTGATGATAAAAGCATCCATTGTGATGACAGATTTCCGGTAAATGTTTATTTTGGTGATGGATTCATTTTCTATTACCTTCAGTAAGATAAATACCCTCCCTTAATACTACAGGTTATCAAAATCTGTCGAGGAAATAGGGTCATCAATGGGACTTTAGCATGTCGGTTACAAATTGGGTGAGCCTGTTGACCTAAAAATAAAGTCTGACAACTTAGAAAACTGGGAGGAAATTATCCTAAATGCCCAATTTGTGATTCAAAGTAAGAAATTAATTAAATATTCCCTCTCACAGATGATGCTTTTCAATTTCCTTTACAGGGGAGATAAAGCCTGAATTGGACAGATAAGAGAGACAAACAGATATAAAAGAAGAAAATGATGATAAAGAGCTCTCTTGGAGGCTTCTGCAAATAACCATAAAAAAAACCCTTTCCAACAAAAGTAAAGCTCCAACAATTTTTTTATCATCGTCAAACACTCAATATACTATTCAGCTTACTTAGGCAAGAAGACAGAGTCAGTAAATGTTCCACAGATAACGAGAAAGCCATCGATTAGACAGAGGTCAGTGATTAATAGCTTCTTGTTGCAGAGAATAAACTACTGCACTGGGTGCTTTTCACACATCACTGACTAAATAAAAAGATAAAGTGTGGAACTAGGAGAAATGTACCTATATAATATATAAATAGAGCTATTACTGATAATGTTACTACAGCAACTACTTTTACTGCCACTACAATGACAACTGCAACTCCTACGCCATCACTTTTACTGTGATGTCTGAGCTGGATCAAGTTAGTCAGTAGTTTAAATCCTCTGTGGTGCTTACTATTGTTTCTTCCAACTTATCATTCAGGTTATCTGAGGTTAATCCAGCATACAATACAGACACAAACAACAAACACACAGTGCTCTGCTTGTTTTGGAAGAAATCTGTGGAAGTTAGCTATTTGTGCAGCTAGATCAGTGGACGTTTTGTACTGTACATTAGAACATTGCATGGTAAACCATAAGGAAAGATGTATATGCTGTAGAGGGAGTAAGTGCATGTATCTGTGAACACACATTTTGTGTGTGTGGCAGATGGTGAATGGGCCTGCTAGGGATTCTACAGGGTGGCACAGGCACAGGGAGACTGCCCAGCCTAATTACTAGCGCGCGCGCACACACACACACACACACACACACACACACACACACACACACACACACACACACACACACACACACACACACACACACACACACACACACAGAAATATAAGCTTTTATTGAATCTCTAAGGTAAGTCACACAAAAATTAACACAGTTCAGTCACATTCAATTTAGGTCATGTGGCTAAAGTATATCAGCAGGACATTTTCCTGTTTGTACTGGTAAAGCCGTTTTAAAAGTCATGCTGTATAACACGTGTGTTAGTGTGTTAGTGTATTTATGTGCTTTAGAATTAAGTGTGTCATCACATTGGTCTCTGGGACATGTGCAGATGTTGTACAACAACTGTATGCCAGTCAGAGAGTCATATATCTCAGTCCAATGTGATGATGTCATGAGTTCTACATCCAACTGTCTCTATTAATGTAAAGTTTATTGATGGCTCTTTATTTACAATTGTGTCTTAGATTTCACTCCTTGTCTTCACCCTTTCTATTTGCCAGCGTACAAACTGTAAATCATTATTGTAAGTTGTAAATTTTAATTCACCTCAAAATACATGAATTTGAGATGTCTTGGAAAACATTTGAATTTTGTGTGTGTGCGTGTCTGCATCTGTTCTTGGTATGTTCAAATTCATGTGTCTGTCTAACAGCATGTGTGTGTATTTGCATGTGTCTTCATTTGTTAATGTGTTTATGTGTGTGGTCTCTTACCTTCTGCAGCAGTTTAGCTCCAGAGTATCTGGCAGACAGGGCAGCTATCTCTTTGCCAAAGGATACAGCCCACTGCTGCACCCTGGACACAGAGAAAACACAATTAAATTAATCAGATGTTTGTCCCACTCATATTTTCCAGGTTTCTATTTGGTAGTAATACAATCACATACAACAAACAATCAATTCTGGTAATTCATTAAATTAAGCCCTTTTCTGTAGGGGAGGCAGTAAGCAACTCAAAAGATGGTCTTATCAATAGCTTAGGATGGATTTATAAAACATTACTGTATGATTTCTTAACAATTAATAAAGCTATTAGTTACAACTTCTAAACCCTTAAGGGTTGCTTATTATAAAGAGGTATTGATTAAATTACTGACATTTTGGCAAATAAACTTTATGGATATGTTATGTCGCCTTTCTGTTTTACACAAATTACTGTGTTAATTCAGAAAATAATGCTTTGAGAAAAGCTGAACAGCCAATTTGCGAAAAAGACAAGGCGTGTTTCAAACTAATCCTCTGTCCAAATGTTTTCTCTTCTAGCTTGCGGGAAAAAAACAAGGGCTAATAAGACCATCTGTATTGAAGGTCACTAAGAAAGTATGCAGCCAAGCATGTTAAGAGGCTGCCCTGCATTCACCAATAACAGATTAAAACAGATTACTTTTAAGGTGACAGTAAAAGCTGACAGTCTTCCAGATCATGCCGTTAACATGCAGCAATTCCACAAATCCTCCATGTGAATGCAGCTGAGGTAAGGTAATAGAGGTTACAGAGTAGACAGGAAGTGACAGATGGCTCAACCTATGGGGAGTCAACCAGCTCGCTGCTAGTTAGCGGTCAGGGTTGACTCACGGCTAGCCTGCAGCCTCAGTACTGAAAAGTGGCTGAGAATTAGTTGACTTGTTGATATGTTTAATCTGAAATGTGAGTGTGGGTTTATTCTAAAGTGTGAGGATTGACAATGAGAGATGCAATTAAACAGACTGTAAATATTCTTCAGTTGTTCAGGGCTATCAAATGCTGTCTTGACTGTTGCCTTGACATTAGTGAGATTGCTGTAACTGTTTTAAGGTGGTATCAAGAAAATGTTTTGACAGAAAAATGAGAAACTGATTCTTTGTTTGATGATTAAAAAACTGCACCACTGTACAAGCCAAGCAAGGTCAGATAAAGACAGAGCCTTAGGCAGGCCAAAGGTCAACTGTGAATACAAATACAACACAGTAATTCTCTATACCTGCAAGGGCAAAAACTGCTGATGATTCCTTTTACTCACCAAGAAAGTTATTATTTTGTTTGCCTAGTTGAAAAATGACAAAATCTAATTTTCGAATCTCACTGCAAGGGAAACACAGCCTTTTATAGGGGTGTTACACAGTCAGAAAAAGTTCCTCATTTCAGTTGTTGCTTTAAAAATGTGTCACTGCGGTTGATGTCTTATTGCCAGTTATGTTTTCCTCCTGGCAGCAAAGCAATGTTCCCTCAGAGGCTAAAGATTTGACCTTGTTGGCCTGGTTGTGGCCCGCTGACTTCCAGAGCCAGCGGGGCCCTGCTGCCAAATCTTCCCCAGGCACAATGAAGCACTTCAGATTCAGTGACCTGTGTTGGCCTGCTGAGCTCTGCTTTCCCCAGACCTTTAATCTCCCTCTGTCACACCAACCTGCCTTTGTGACATCACAGAATTTGTGACCTGCCTAGGTACAAAACTCACACACATTATATCCTGAAACTGCATAATCAACTTTTATGGTTTTGGTTGATAAAACCTTTGGACTCAAATTGGATTAAACACAATATTACAGTATGTATGGCCACTGCACAAATATTAATAGCATCCAGTCAGTGCAAGTGTGCTAACAAAATGCTGTGTATTTGTCTGTGTTTCTCAGAGTTTCTGTGTTCCTCACAACCTCTTCCACTTTAACACACACACACACACACACACAAAAGAAGTTAATAGGCTATTGTGGACTGACAGCACCATATCGATCTGTTAGTGTTTTTAGTCAGCAGGCGGTTTGAAAACTGTTCAGGGGAAAGAGCTTCGTCTGGCGTCTGGAGAACAAACAAACGCAGCGTTTCATTCCCAAAAGAAAAGCTGACCGCTTCTCTTACAAAGTGAATGTTAGTATGAAAATAAAAACACATTAGGCATTATGAGTTATTGGAAGTCTCTTGTGTAAAACCCATCTTTGTATTTGAGTGATTGTTTTTTTCATATATATAATATTTCCAGAACTAGTTTCAAAATTATTTTCACAGACAATCACTAATGTAGAGGATATGTTGTATCTCACTCAGTAAAGAGTAACATCGGCTATTATATAGCTTACTTAAACTTAATTGATTCATTCATTTCAGTCCATAATATGCTGACTGAGTGAGGGTAAGTTACTAACATATGTATACTAACGTCTAGACTGAGAGTAACTCTGTTTAATATACAGTAGTTCAGAGGTTAAGGATGGCCCGCCTTTGGAGATGAGGATTTACCGTCTACCCACGAACAGGGACTTAGTGGAAAAGAGTATTTAATACAAGAGCATTCAAAAATACACCAGAATATCAGAAAAACATACATTCTGGAGACTTAATGCGGGATATTATTATATTAAACAATTAGTCCGATAATATATAGGTGAAAATAACAATGATTGATCCAACCATCGTTTGGGATGCCTGAAACACCGTCATTTGAGGAAAGTTATTAGCTAGAACCACTTTATTAAAATATATTAATAGTATTATATTAATTAAAATAGAGGCATATAAGAACTATTCAGAAAGACTGAGAGAATTGGAGAAGCAATACAAGAAAACAAATCAATAATGAAATGTATCAATAAATGAAGCATACCAAAACAAAAATGGATGATTTATTAAAAGAAAAATTTGAAAAAATAATAGATTTTTTAAACAGAAGTATTATGAGCAGTAAATACAAAAGCCATATAGACATAATTGCTAGCCATACTCTAGCATGGTTAAAAACCTATATAATATCAGTGTACGCAAAAGAAGTTTTCAGTCATGTAAGCTTGTAATATTGTATTCTAAACATCCCAATTTACAATTGCAAAATGAAACATAATCTGCCCCATATCTATCTGTGCATTTATTACTGTATCTTTATTGTAAGAATATAAGCCAAATTTATGTCAACTTATTTGGCTGAAACTAGCTCTACCCCACAGGTCCCCATATGCCCATATGTATCTGTGTTGAGTACTCAACTAAAATAGAAAGGACAGTATTGACTCATCCATCTGACATGTGGCTCCGAGAAGGATAACGCTGCATGTAGTCTTGCCAGGTAGTCCACAGGGAAATTACGTGGTACAATAATTGGTAATGTCTTAATAAATCATTAGGTCTGTGTTTTTTTAACTTGTATTTACTGCTAAATGGATGAAAATGAATCAAAATAAAACAAAAACATCATCCAGTCAGATGACTGTGGGTAAACGCTTTGCAGATTTCCATTTATTTCACCTATTAAATACAGTATATATTATAGTGATGAAAGTGCAGGTGCAAATAAAGTGGAACAGAAGAGTTGTCCTTCATAAAACCATAAGGGTGTGCAAGTAAAGTCAGTCAGTCAGTTTAAGATCCTTGGAATTAATGAGATCAGGTATTTGAATAAATACATTTGATTGAGGTTTTATGAAGTGAAAATGTATACGTGTGTGAAAAGCAAAGGAGATTTACACATGCAAATTTGTTTCTCACAAAACCTGCATGATCTGTGTTTGCCAGTCTCTTGTCGTGGATACAACCAAATGTCAAAAACTCATTATTTTCGGTGTATGTGGCTTTTCAACTGACATCAAAACTTGATCTGACCAAAATGGCTCCTGATGGTTCAGTCCCCGGAGGTAAAAAGTCAATGTCATGGCTTTCTAGTGCAACTGTACTCACGTTTCTGGTGAGATCTTCATCTGGCCTTCGACCATCAGGCACAACGAGCTGGATAGGATAATCCACAGCAGCATCACGTGCCTCCCTCTGTGAGGCCCACTTCTGTCCGATTTACTGGCATTCCCAGCGCTTCCCCTGGTCCAGCGGTTCATCCCTGCAGCTGCTGCGATCTGCATCAGTCCTCCAATTTTTGCATGCTGGCTCCAAGAGAAAAGGATGAAATTAGGACAGCTCAAAGAAAGATTAGAAGTGCTCAGGTCACAATGCAAACGGAAAGAGGGATGAACTAAAGATGGAAGGAAGTAGCTGCTGACTGACAGAAAATTTCACAGAACAAGGATTTTACTTCTGCATAGGAGAGACAAGAGCAACAACCTACCCTACCTGAGGTGTAAACACAGATGCACTGCAGCTTTCCATGACAAGTAATAATAATGAAACACTTCATTACATTACAAACATTAGCTGTTCAAGATTAAAAAGTAAAAGTACTTGTCTGTGCAAGTGGTATAACAACAACATTTACACACTATCCTTAGAACAATACCAGCGGAAACAAGCTATAAACACAGGACTGACATGCTTTTAGGCTGATACAGCAAACTTGTTAGCTAACAGGTGCCTTATTCACCTAGCAGTTATAGAGCAATATTCACCCTCTTTAAGCTCTGTTTTTGGTGAAAGAAGTTAAAAAGCTCCATAGAGCTAAGTAGAACTGCAAAGGTACTGCTATGCTTCCCTGTGGGTTCATCATTATGAGTAACCAATGTATGTGATCCATTGTTAATTTAACAATATTGATTATAGACGCTTTAAATTATTTGGGCAACATTTTGTATATCTGTAGGATAGTTTTGCAATGGGGGGAGCGGGGGAAAAATGACACTGAATAACTTGCCTGATAAAGTAATAGTGGGAAAATTGACATTGACAAAAAAGACATTCATGTATAGTTCAAACCTTGAGAGGTGACTTTGTGAATGAGCAGTCTAAAATACACAAGGATCCATAGAGACATGAAGAGAATCTGAGTCTGTGGCCTGCTCAAGAAAAACAAAGGATCCAGAAAGCTCAGATCCAACACTAACATCAGAGGAAGGATGTCATCCTAAAAAGTGGTCAGATATTTAAGACTTCTAATAATGACACTGGGAAGCCACAGACTATGAACGTAAAAGACTAAAGAGCTGCTTTTCCTGGGAGACACAAGATTGAAAAAATCCCATGTGCTGTCCAGAAACGCATGACGCTAATTTAAAAGAAACACAAGCTGGAGCCAAAAAGTGGGTTGCGGGAATATTAAAATACCTCTTCAAATCATTATAGACACAATGGTAGTGAAGATTACTCACTATGTCATGTGGTCACAGCTTTAAAACCATTCTCTTCGAGACACGTGGTTCAAATTTGACTGATGACAAATAAAAAGTGTTGATGATTTGATGTCAGCTCAGCTGGTTACCCAGGCACACAATAGAGTCTAGAAAGCTCTTGTCTCCAGTGTCAAAGGTCACTTCTGCGCACCAAGAGTCACGACGCAGTCTCGCCATATTCCTGCAACTCTAAATCCTATTTCTACTCCTCCCATCATCCACGTCTCTCCTCCATGCTCCCTCTCTTGGATCGGCAGGATGCCGGGAAAAAAGGAAAGTGATTGTGAAAGTGAAAGAAAGAGCTAGGTCGTCCTGGCAAACTTCTGTCTTCACACGAGTTCAGTCCTTGTTATCAGACAGCAAAGTATTCCCAAGCAGGACACACACATACATATTCCTAAAGAGACTTTGGGTTTTTCTGCCGTCCTTTGTTGAATGCTTCCTTGCTGCTGACCTCACATCCTGGTGGATGTAAACCCAAAACACTGGGACACAAATGTGCTACCGGACAGAGAGAAAGGTAAATGGAATGTTGGATGGATGCAGGGATAGCGGGACTTCCTCTTTCTCCAGCGTATCTCTTCCTGCTCTCCGGCATCAGTTTATACCATAATCCAGGCAGGATTAAACCCCTCCTCCCTCCATTTCTCCTTTTCTCTCTCCATCCCTCTCGCTCAGACACACATTAAAACAAACACTATCCCTCTCTAATTCTCTCGCTCTTTGACCCACCGTCTTCCTTGTCCTATTTTCTACTTTCTCCCTCTTTTATCTCTTAATCGTTCTCATTAGTCTCTTTTTACTGAGAGAGAGGAAAGAGGAAAAGGTGGTGGCAATAAGAATTAAGTGTAGTAATCTTGTGGGAAAAGAGGAAAGAAGAAGGAAAGACCAATAAGAAGAAAAAGGTTAAAATGTGAGGAAAAAAGGCAGGAAAAAATGATAAAGCAAAAGAGCAGGAAAGAGAAGAGAGGTGGTTGTAGTTGTATCAGAAGGAGAGTCGTGATTTGTGGAGGAAAATGCACTTGACACTGACACAATCTTATAATATATACACACTGAGACACCTAGTGGCCTCTCATTGCCTCACACAAACACAAACACACACCGTGCCGCATTGATTGAACTATGTCAATGTGTCCAATAATGCAAAATCCAATAGTATATTTAGTTTACTTTCCAATGTATTTAGGTACAAGATATTTCTGTAGCTGATTGAAGACAACTGCATTCATCTCATGATCCATTTCAATTACGCCAAGAGTAAATTATGTTTAAATGTTAAATGGTTTATCTCCCTGGGTCAGCCTGCAGACATCAGCAGCAAACATCTGGAATAAGTATGTGCGATACATTCATGCCATTTTTACTTTCTGATTTTGCTGCTGTTTTGACAGAGTGGAATTTGAAAAGTGATTTGGCAAATGCATCACTTCAACCCATTTCATACACTCAAACAAATGCGAACCACATTTTACAGGTACCTGTACATTCTGTCATGCTAAACCTTTCCAGCTGAAAAAAAAAGCCAACCTACCAACTCACACAGCACATATATTAAACCTTTTGAAAGATCTTTAAATGGTAACGGTAGGAAGTTTAGAAGAGAAAGTTTAGTCAGTGTCTATATCTTACACTACATATGTGATAACACTATGAACATGCAGTATGGACTTGTGTACAATACATAGCCTAAGTGACATTTTAAACTACGTGAGAGCTACAGCAGGGACATGACATCATGACATCTGACGTCTAGAGCTCAAATGGGCTGTGTGCTGCTGGGACCATTAGGCGCTAAATACCCGAGACACACAGTCAGACATGCACACAAACACACATAGTCATGTACTTGCATGCATACACGAACTGGACACACGCAAGTATACTGCATTACGTAAATGCAGCTAACGTGCACAGATGCAACTTTAGATATTATAAGCATGTACACATTCACACACACGCACGCAAACACGCACACAGTAAAACATCTGCTCATGCTGTTATGGAAATTAAAATGCAGTAAAACAATCTGGCACAAACACACAAAGCAATACTACTGCAGTGAATGCAGAAAGTGTCAGATTAATAACAGAAATGGTTAAAGAGAGAGACTGACTGACATTTAGTGACACAAACAGAGGCAAACAGACAGAGCATGCACATGCTACATATGTATATCTATGCACACACACCAGCAGTTTGTAACAGCTGTGGGACTCCTCCTCCCCCACTGACCCAGATCACTGATAATGGGGATGAACTCTTGGTTATAGAACAGAAGGATTTCTAACCCTCCAGATAAATGAGGCTCCTCTAGTACAAAGACATACAGGTCAGTCGGGCTGGAGGTATGACTGCGAGAGGGTGTACGTCCACATACAGTACTGTTAGTGTGAGTTAGATGATGCACAGATATCCTGCACAGATATCCTGCACATCATTGTTCCTTAGATCTCCTATCTGATGGATGCTAGGATCGGATTATGTGGGCGGTGAAAACAAACAATTTTAAACTGTTTAGTTCCAAAAAAGAAAAAAAACGTGCAGCAGCATACAAAGAGTTCTATTTATTTGCAATGGGACAGGTTGAAAGCATAGACTGGCTCAAAGAAACTGGAAGGATCCTTCAAGCCCAGTCTAGTTGCTGCTTGGTGATATTTTACAGTCCAGTACATTATATTTTTTTAAATTCAGCAGTGTTTCACCATTTCTGCAGGAATATATAGAGTAACATCACAAAATAGTTTTGCAGAAATGCTCACTAAAACAGGCAAAAATGTTTTCTGTTTTCAGTTATGTCTTTGGTTTTACAGCATTCCAGGCTTTTCTTTTACTATGTTTACTTCAAATTAGTTCATTTCCCTAATTAAATCTTTTTAAATGGTGCAATATTGTAGCCGTTATTTGATTTTATACCACTTTTATCTTTCATTTACTGAGATCTCTATTTTATCAAAGAAACATATATATGCATAAACTACAATGATCCTCAAACACCATCAAGCACCACTGTAGGATTAAATATCAAAGAAAACTCTGAGCAGCACCACTCACCTGCGCCCCAGTAGAGCTTAATTATGGTTCCAACTTGTCCTGTCTGAGTGTAGGAGAAAAAAAAAAATGACATGAAAAATGTTTCTTAAAATACAGTTTGAACGCAGGACAACTTTTTTTTTTTGGTGTATGAACAAAGTTTAAAAGCCACAAAAGGCACAGGATTACTCGATAAATCAGTTTCGTCGGAATGATCTACTCTTGGGTTTCCAAAGTGAAACCAGTAAATGTAGACGACATCCTCCATCTGAGAATACAGCAGCAAAAAAAAGTGGATCAGACTCCCTGTACAAACTGAAGACCCCGCCTCTCTGGGCAGGGACACACACACATACACACACACCAGAAGTCATTGATTAGTCTAAGCAAGGGCAAATAGTCAGCCCTTACTTTTAGCGCTATCAGCTAAACCAATGGTCTGGAACTCCTAGTCTCAGAGGAAATATGTGTGTCTGTTTCCTGAAAAAACAAGACAATCTGAAGGTCCAAACAATATTTTAAACGCATTGATACAGCACTCATAATAATTTATTTTTAGCATATATGAAGTGAAGCAGAGTCTGGTTTGGGTTATAAAGCACCTGCTACTTTAAATACTGATGTTAGTTACCATGTATGACACCACAGTGTTGGTTGGGGAGAGGAAGCAGGAAGGAAGGAAGGAAGAAGGAGAGGCAACCAAATTCCCACAGTGTAAACAAAAGTGGGCAGCTGACTCATTGGACTCTGATCACTTCACACTGTGTCTCCTACCAGCGTTTGGATTCCCAGGGAGCCATTAACAGCCCTGATATCAGAATTTGTCATACACAGACAGGACGACACACACACATGCACACACAAAGAGAACATCATCACGTTCTCGATGATATGAGGGCGGAGCACCTGTGAAGTTTTTCAGTTTCACCGCTTGTCACTGAATTCCTTTTGCCATAAGCTGTCTGTTTATGTAAAAAAACATCCTGCATCTTGGTAAAACAGTGAGTGGCAGGTCATTATCATGCATTGTCCAGCTCGCCATGGGAGACCAACTGATGACTTAATCTGAGGGGCCACCTTCTATTAGTCTGTCAGTATGACTGCCAATAAATCAGTCAGTAATTATGCGTGATTTGCTGTCAGTGTCGTTACTGCCCCCATATTTAAGACATTATAAGACTGCCGTTTCTCCTTTTTGACCTCTAATTCCTGCTTCCTATTCTAATATTTGCATTTGTGGCTGACAATCACTGGGTAAAAGATGTTTTCTAAGCTTAAAGGCTGCTCGGTCACCTAGCCTCTCCTCTTTAGTCCTGGTACAACTGACAACAGCCCTGTTCAGTCATATTAACAGCATTGTGTTAGCAACTCTGCTTTATTGGCTTGTACTGTGTGCTCAGGTAAGCGTGACAAACACAGGGAGCGATTTAATATTGGAAAAAACTAATGTTGTATAAAGTCTATTAGAGTTAATTGGTCAAGGTCTCAATACTGCTGGGTGTGTGAAAAACAGTTGATTAATCACTGTAGACATTATTGATTGTGGCAGAAAAAAAGCAGTGATGTGACATTAAAGCAATAATAAGTGTACCTTTACACCTCTGATTAGTGTTATTTCAGGCAGGATCAATCTTGAATGATAATAATAATAATAAATACCTGTTAGCCATACCGATCCACATACACAACAAAAAAGACAGTAAGCGACAACAAAGGCAGTTTGAGAACATTTAATATCCAATTAAACTATATTCCAGTTTATGTAAGAGCAAAACATTCTTGACAAAAACAAACACAAATTATGGAAAAAATTGTCCATTGACATTCCATTGTCTCATATTATTTTAAATGACACCGTTAAAAAAAAGATTATGGATGACATCTTTTGAATTAAAAGAACAAAGCTTTCTTACAAATAACTGCAGATGTGTCTTACTTATATTTTAGCTGTACATTTTTATTGTACTGTAACATGCTGGTTATTTGTACTATGACAACAATACATTTTGCTTCTTGAGTACAAAAATAGGAAGAAAAAATATTCTGGTACATGTATTCTCTTTTTTCTGTTGCTGCTGTTTGTGTGCACTCTGGTAGCTACTGTATAGTCTGGCACGATATATAAGTTTAGCACTGGAGCTAAACACAAACTTCAAACCCTGACAAAACTAAATATTTTTTTGACTTCTCTCCTGTACTAAGGGATACTGCGTGGGACACTTAGTTTAGCTGGTTGACATTTCATACAGTACATATAGTGTAACAGTATTTTGGAAATACATGTTCGATAACATTCTCTACTATACTTTGAACAGGCCTGTGAACTCCAAACAATTATCAGATATATTTATATACGTTCTTTGCTGAATTTTTATTGCCTTAAATCTCCATTTAACCAAGCAAGTGAAGTATTTCATCAATCATTTTATTATTCCTGAGGGGAAGTTGTTTTGTTTGGCAGAGAGAATGTTCAGAACCTGTGACATGAAATCAAGTTGCAACAGCAGCTCTGGCAGGGACGAGAATTTACTTGGGTGATATTTCATAAGTGTTAAAAGGTTACGATGAAAAACTTAAACTGAAATTAAATTATCTAACCTTTAAAACTGTCCAATGACATAACTGACAATCTAGGTAAAAACACAGTTACACCTCTGTGAGGTAGTGCAGGTCATTTAATCTCCTGTACTTTCCTTGTTACTTCCAGTTAGACGGATACCGTGTCATTTTAAATTACTCATAATAATAATGTTCAGTGACAACTTCTAGTTATTGTAACTAAAATACCAATACCTATATTTATCACAGCTAATGTCTGCTGAAAAAAAGGAGAAAAAATGTAAATGACAAGGTATCACTTTATCACTTTAACTTGAAAGGAGTTTGGGTAGTAAAATATATTTGCTTAAAATTAATTTAGAAAGAACTTAAAAGAATTTTAAAATTCAAATCTAACAAATTCTGTTTAACGTGTTTGACACTTCATTTTATAAGTTAAGTCAGCTTCAAGTCTGTTAAGGCTGTTTGAGCATTTCCTTCGGCACAAGTTCTGAGACTAGGAAGACTTGTTTGTTAAATCCCAGAGGGCTGGCTGGTGTTAAGACAACTGAGTCGGAGTAAAGACTGCATAGTATAAATAAAAAATAAAATAAAATAAAACTCTGCTACATCTGGTGAAAACAAGTACAGGTTACTACTAAATTGAAACACAAGTGAGGTTGCAGCATATTTGGTCTTCACTGAGAGTGAACTAGGCTACATTTTCCCCCTAACTACAGTTGAGGTCAAGACTGTGTGGATATGCCACATGTGTGCCTAACATTAGCAGTCTTCAGCTTCAGAGAATTTTTCAGAGAAGTCACAGGATGAACAGTTGGAATAAATAAACAAACACGTTTATAATTGTTGATAACTGCTTTTGGGGAGAGGAGATACAGTCGGCGTGGTATTCGGAGGAGGAAGTGGTACATCCATATTAAGTGTAAGAATGAGCCTCACTGTTCTGGACAGGGTGTATGCATAGAAAAGAGGGTGTGAAGAGTCATCAGTACTTGCTGCTTGAGTCGTTAGCCAAGCGGCTGATGTAGGCTTCATAGATGGTGTCCAAGAATGAGCTGTCAGTCTGAAACACCCAAGCAAGGATCATCATCTTGCATGTTTGTGTGCAATGCATGCATGTTTAAACAAATAAACACAACGTGATGTGAGAGGCCATGGACATATAATGTGTCAGCTACTTCTAGTAATATAATTCTTACCTGGATCAGACGGAGCAGCGTGGCTTGAAGCTGGTTTCTGGACAGAACTCTGCCCTCTTCCTGCAGCGGGGGTCTGGACAGAGTTGAGGGGACAGGGCAGCTCTCCTGGGCAACCGCTGATAACCCACCACTAGATTTTGCCTGAGTGAACACACTGGGAGAGAGGAGCAGGATGGGGGCCACAGTGGCTGGTATCCGCTGCGGGGAGATCACCTGGACAGACAGATACAGTTATTAGTACTCCTTTACAGTTGTTCACAATAACAAAAAAAAAAAGAAACTCTGGCTTCCACCTCATTACTTAGTAAGTTATCAATAGATACATTTACATGTGAATGATAATGTGAATTATCATGCAACATACAAATGAGGCAACCTGAAGATTTAAATGAACACAAATAGTAAAGTAGCCAAAGACAGCAGCTAACAGAGTTCACAGTACTTACCTGAAACTGCTGCGTAGCCTTCTGAGCTACAGTGGTCTGGTTAGGGACCGGACCTACAACTGAGCCAGCACCTTGACCATGACTGGGTCCCAGAAATCGAGCGGCCAGTCGAGGGAGATCATGGGAAGCCAGGCTTTGCTCTTGCTGGACCAGCTGGAGCTTTTGCAGGAGCTCATGAGGCGACACCACACCGGGCATCTGGGAAGACAGGCCTGACAAGAGAGGAGGAGGAACCCAATGATTAGACTTTATTTAATAGCTTACACGGATAAAACAGGTATCTTGGAAGAGACATTTAAGAGTTTAAATATAGAGATAATACCTGTGCGAATACTAAATCAGTGGTTAACTCACATAGTTTTGTCAGATTAAGAACTATACAATTTTTTGTGACACCAAACAGAAACTGCAAAGTGACTATATTTTAAGGAAACTGACATAACTTGTGAAGGTTGAAGGACTACTATTTACTTAAAATTTAGATAATACTCCACTTTTACATTTTCCCAAAAAGTGCATGTGGCACACTTATTCAGTACGTGGTTGTACTGCTCATTCATAGCATATTGAGAGCATAAAAGATGTCTCACCTGGTCCCGGTATAGTTGAGGCTGACTGGCTATTGTGCTGTGCCTCTGGTTGAGGTTTAGATAGGCTGAAAAATAGCTGCTGGGTCTGTTGCGTATGATGGTGGGAACATGACACAGAATCCACCATTACTGGCTGGGAAGAGAGATGGGGCTTCTGCAGCAGGGGAGGAGGGTTGGAGGAGGGAGGTGGTGGCTGGATTTGGAAAAGTCTCTGGATTGGGTCAAGCTGTTGCTTTTGATGATGATGGTGGTGGTGCTGCTGATGATGGTGGTGGTACATATGGTGATGGTGGTGGTGATGCTCCAGCTGCACCCCGTTGTCACACAGCCTGTTCTCGGGGGACTCTGACAGGGTCTGAAGCACCCCTCTCTGTCCTTGCATGAGCTTCTGGATGGCTGGGCAGTGCTGTGGCTGATTCTGCTGCTGCTGCTGCTGATGGGCGGTAGTGGGGCTCGGCAGCAAGCCCGCAACAACGTTTCCACCATCCCTGAGCCCTCTATCTGAAAACCCAGCCATGACGACGTTCCCTCCCTTGGAGGTCACACTTCTGGCAGAGTTCACTGTATCCTCATATGTCAGCGTGCGGGCTACAGGTGGCCGAGCGGCTGTTACCGTTGATGACGCCGTCCCAGGGGTGGCCAAAGGAGAGACTAGGTCAGGTTTGGATGAGTGGTGGTGCTGATATTGAGAGCCAAAAAGAGTGGCCAGAGAGAGAGACTTGGGTTCAGTACCTTCACTGTCCTGGATGAGACACACAAAGAGAAGGGTGAGAGGGAATGAGAAGGGGAACCAACTACGGTGTAGTTATTTCTGATGTATTTCTTAATATCAGGCTAAATGAAAAGGTCTTTAAATGACAATAAAAAAATGGATTGAGTAATGCATCGGATAAAGTCAATACTGAGTTTGTTATGGCAACATTTCCTGTTACTGGTCGTCTTTAGCTGATACCTTTTGCCATCCCATTTGTTCTCTTGCTGTGGACCAGATAGGCCCTCCTATGCATCACAAATATTATCATCAAGGAAAGATGATGTACTGAATGTAAGCCTGGAATGAAATAGGAAGTGGGTGTTTTACCTGAGTGTTCGGTTTAACAGGTATTGGTTTGATCAAGTTGGGGTTTCCAGAAAGAACACTGCTGCCACCAATCTCCTTTGGCTCTGATGTAGACTGGCCCTGAGAGAGATACATAAAAAGGGAGAGGGAGGGAGATACACAGTCAGAGAGATAGCAGAGAAACAGAAAATGAATGATGATACAATAAGTGACTTAAGAAGATCTTAGATGATTCTCTACCCCCTGCTGGTCAGTATGATGAAAGGCAAACAATTGAATAAAAGGTCATATTTTTCCATCAAAAATATTAATTTGTAATGTTCTATTTCTTTCAACCACCCTATATATCCTTACCTTATCATACTCTGTCCGTGCTTTGGTCAACATCTGGATGATGTCCACTGACTTCGCTTCACTTCCTCCTCCGACTATTTCTCCTCCCCGTCCTCCTTCAGGGGACAACCATCCACCCTGAGACTGAACTAGGACCTGCTCCTGCTGGGCCAGACTACACACACACACACACACACACACACACACACACACACACACACACACACACACACACACACACACACACACACACATATATATATATGAGACAAGCAGTAAAGCTGAGTCTTCTTGTCATGATAAGACTACTACTGTAACTTTACACCAGATATATATTTTTCAACAAAGCAAAATACATTTGTTCACTGTGGGAGCCAAGCTTATTCAAACATACAATGGTTATCATTTGTTGTCCATTTATTGGCTCTAAGCCCTAGACACAGATCTATTAATAAACAAACTGATATCTCAAAAAGATAAGAAACAAACTGTTCACAGAATTTAATTTAAATTTGTTTTCTTTAAGTGCTGTATACAGTTTGTGGTTACATTAGCACTTACATCTTCATCTTCTGGGCAATGCGTTGACAGTCCTCCTTATCATAGAACCAAATCCCATGGATAACCACTGGGGGAGTGAGGAAGAGAAAGAGAGAGAACGAGAAGTGAACTTTTGAACATGTTTCATAAACTAAAATGGATCTGGAATAATGCCCCACTCTAAAATGCTAAAAATCAAGTTAGCCGTTGACATAATGACAGTGCCTGTTGAATTTTGATGTGCCGGTCAGTAAGGTCAGCAGACAACAAAATGAGTTTGCTGATCTGCCATACCGTTACAATTAAATGAATGCACAGACATGCCGTCGTACAACTCTGCTGCTTTGACATCATCGCAGGCCCGACAGACATGTAAATGGTTTATTATTAGCCCTGCTGGGTCTAAGCCCAGGATTTAAAATGAGTCATTTCCCGATGGGAACAGAAGCCAGCAGTGCCATTATGGGCCCCAGGAGTCCTCTCAACTACATAAACATGGTCAACAAAGGAGGGAAAAGGCAACACTAACACCCATTTGTCAGCGGGTTGTAAGCAAGTAAGTTGCATTAAATTACACAGTGACTCATTTTACTAGACTCATTTGCACTGACTCCTAAAGCATATTGAAACAGGTAGCGTTGCTGAATAATTATTCAATTCCAGTCAGAGAGGAGAGACTCATAATCATAGTTTTGCCCAGCTACAAAATTAAAGGACAAGGAAATAAACAGTGAAGGTATACAAAAAAAGGGTCCAGATCCACTGGCCTTGAACTTGTTTCATTATCCACTTAGTCTCTAGGTATCGTGTAAAAACATTACTGCCAATGAGGTACCTGAACTACTAAAAACACCACAACATTGTTCGGGTACCTACTTATCATATCATGCTTTTTAAATCTAATTCTGTCTAAACATAAGCAGCTGAACA